CTTTATGCGGTAAGCGGCATTTAACCTCTTCTATTCAATTTCTATCCTCACATTCGCGAATTAGAACATGATACCCTGAGCAATCAGTATGAACGATTGGTTGTCCAACCCTAGTTACATTTGTCGTATGGTGATATTATACTTTACATTCTTATTAACGATAAAATACATTTTTATAATATAAGAGCAGAGATTTCACTTAATTTAATAAAGTAAATTACTTTCCAATGTGCTAATTTTTTCTTTAATGTAGATCACTCACAAATGTGACAACACTTTTAATATTAAATCCATAAATAATAAAAGATTGACACAGAAATTTCTTTAACCACACCAATATTATTTTAAAGAAATTGAGTTCAGCATCTGCTATAACCGTTGTATTAGTTTTTAATATTTATTTAATGTAAATGAATTTTGTGGTTTTAAAAAAAATTGTAATTCTCAAACTAAAATTTAATAATATTTTAATAAATTACAAATAAAAACCTCTACAACATATAATAAATTATTCTTAAAAAAAAATATAAAAATGACTGATTTAATTATCATTGAAAGAAAGTAGATGGCGCTACGTTCATTGTATCTTTAATAAATGCATTCATTATAATTACGAAATCAATTTTTTTTCTCTTTTTTTCTTTGTGTATAACAAAACTAAAATATTTTATTTTTATATTTTAAAAATTGCATAATTCATAAGAAAAAAATGGAATGTTTTTTTTTTTTTTGTTTTGTCATTAAACCCACAAACTATTGTATATTTTTGACTAAATATTTATAAATTGTTTTTTTTTATTTATTTCTTTAAAAAATAAAATAATCAAACGCATTTCTCTTTTTCATATAGTTATGTTATACGTTATATTATATTATGGCATTATACTGAATATTGTTGAATTTTTATATTAAAAAGATTAGAGATGGCACGAAGAATTTCTTTGAGTTTAATAATACAGTCTTATTTTTTTTTAAATTCAATTCTGAGATTTGTGTTTGAAATATCAATTAAGAAATTAAATTGGAAAGGAACATCATCATAAATTCTATTATATAGAAAAGAATTAAGATGCACAAAAAATTTTACAAGTTTTAGATTTTTAGTGTCCATACATGGTAGGCAATGTATATGTATATCAAACATTTCTCATGCATTTTGTATGATAGTAAATAAATTTCGTTCAATTTTTTTCTCAAACAAAATCAACAGACTTTTATAGTACATTAAATTTTCTTTTCACAAAGTTCTTAAAGGAATCAAACAAAATGTGTGAACAATGTTTGAATAAAACAATTTTTAAAAAGCCTAAACGAACATGTTCGAACGAACATATTGTTGTAAACATTTGATCAAAGTATCAATTTTGATACAATTTCATAATACTCAACAATCAATTATTATAGTTTGATTGAATAAAAAAAAAATTATAAAAAAATTATCTATCTATTTAAAATTCAAAATATTTCACTCTTACTTTTTAAGTCGTTCATTCATTTTTCGTTTTCTAATAATATTTTTAATTTAACGCATTTTAAATATCACATCCAACCTCTTATTCTCTTTAATCTGCTCACTACTTTTTTCCACGTTTCCAATAAAATTCATTTTTATGTCGATTTCAAATCAACATTTTTTTGTTTTTATTTGCAGCTGATATTTTTATCTTTATTTTGAGATTTTGATCTTTTGTAACAAATTTTTTTTTAACAATTTCAATTTACAACAGTCTGCATTTAACATCGGTCGCCTATAAAACTATATATTGTACGGTCGACTAAAAGAAATATCAAAAATTATATACAAGTGGTAACAGACTAATAAAAAAATTGCATGTTTTGTTTTTTTTTTTTGTATACTTACATATGGTATGTACGTGCACGAATACAGCGTAATGACCATAAATTAATCGTTGTGACGCTTAAACCGTTTATTATCGATCAAACTAGTGTTTTCTATATGGACGTAAGTTAATTAAATGAAATTTATGTATGAAAAAGGGTATTTTTTCTTTTTTCTACTTTCATATTTGCAAAAATTAAAAAAAAACTAAATGAAAATATTGAATTTGCAAAATTAATTTTAAAAAAAGTAAACAAGGCAACAACAGTAAAAACGTAAACAGTAAAAATTTAAAAGCTTTATGACTCAGAAAAATTTTTAATTTCAAATTTGTATAACGTTTAAAACTCTTGGAAATGGTGGCACAGACCATATTTTTATAATATGTAAAAAGATTTCTGGTTACTAAAAACAACTGAATTATTTTTAATCCCTTCCACAGAAATTATTGTTGTCACGTCGCAGTTGTAAATAAATTCTATTTTGGACATTTTGGAGAAAAACTGGGAATACTTTTCAGGACAAACGTATAGGCTTAACGGTGTCAGTGTCAAAGTCACAGTCACTGTCACTGTCACTGTCACTGTTACTGTTACTGTTACTGTTGCTGTCACTGTCACTGTCACTGTTACTGTTACTGTCACTGTTACTGTCACTGTCACTGTCAATATCACTGTCAATTGTCCCAGGCCCTGCGTCAATGTTAATGTCATTGCCAATATCTCTGTCAATCATTGTTGCTGCTATTGTCACTACAATTTTTACTATAAATCTGGCACTATTTATTTTCAATTTGGGCTGGCACTAGTACAACTGTAGCTGCAATGATTGCCTTTTCATGTTTATAACTTATATGAAATCTCAAAATTACCAAGAAGTTGATAGACGGCCTTTTATACTCTACTGTAAGTGATTTCAAACATGTAACAAACTAAAATTATTAACAAATAATTGCATTTTGCATGATATTTCAATATCTCTGATATTTCAATATCTTCCAAACTACACTGCCTCTCTTATGATATTTTCAACGCTAATTTCGATCATTCGATCATCATCAATTTAAAAGTAAAATATCAATCGTTTCTATTTAAATTTTTCTTATAAAGATCTCTAAACAAAAAGAAAAAAAAGCATCACTGGCTGACCGATTAGAAAAATTTTTTACTTTTCTTTTTTTCATAAAAATTTTTTTAGTCTTTCGTTTTCATTCATTAGATTTAGTCAGTAGTTTAAAAAGCGAACGTCAAACAAAAATTTTATTTGAAAAAGAAAAAAAAAAAGAAATATTCTTGAACGTATTTAATTTAAATAAATGTAATAATAAAAATTAAAAAAAAAATAATAATAATAAAAAAAACAGCAGCATCTAAATACAAAAATTTAATAATAATTGTGCAATTTTTGTGATATAAGGCGGAAAAAACATTAATATTTCTGTTATTTTCTAAATAACTGTATATTATTGCGTTAGTTATTGCCCGCTGTTATTGCTGTTCCTATACGTTGTAGGTACAATTTTTTGTTTATAATTTTTAATAAATTATTTTTTATTGTTTTTTGTTTATTTTTTTTTTCCTCTTAATTTTGTGTACAATATTTAAAATTTTTTTTTTTTTGTAAATATAATTAGTGTTCATTGTGTGGGGTACAAAATAAAATTAAAAGAAAAAAATATTTGTAGTGAACAAAAAAAAAATTTTTTTTTTTAAATTTAGAAAATAAATAAAATTGTTTGTAATAATTGACGGTGCGAGTGAATCATTAAAAATATCTAATTAAAAAATAAATGAATTTTGAGAATTTAAGTGAGATTTATAGAGTAATTCAAGAGATGAAATTTATGAGAATAAATTAAATGTGAGATTTTTTGAACAAGTCTTCATAGATGCCTATAACATACTGCCTACACACATTTGAATGCTTAAATTGTTATAAAAATGAATATAAATATTTTAAATTTGATTTTTGAGAGTATAGTCAAATTATTTATCGAAATAGTATGTCCAATCTCAGTGATTCTCTATCTCCTATTCTATGTCAATCTCAGTATTTTTTTCTCAGTGTACCGGTATTGGTCAACGGATTTATGTAATTACCAAATTTTAAAGAAATTTTTATAACAAATTGTTTAAGAATTATTAACATACATATAGTAAAGAAGGAATTTTAAGAATTCAATGTCGTGAAATTGAAATCATCACTGATTGTAATTGTAACACTGCGAAAAAAATTTAGTTTACTTAAGTAACAATCCCTATTCTGAAACGGTAGTAACTAACGGTGTTTTAGTATATTGCCTTACGATTAATACAAACATATTAGTTCAAAAACTCATTAGTAATACAAACTTATTAGTTTATTAGTTGAATTTAAGAAAATTCACCGTAAGAGGGCGAATAGTTTAGTTTTGCTTTAAGTATTAAGTTTTTTCACCGTTTTATATTGTAGGTATTTTATCAGATGTTCTCATCAATAGTATACATAACAAACAGTAAATAATTTGATTATTTTAGGATTGTGTCATCTATATATATACTTTATTTTGCCACTCGAATATGAAAAAGGAACAAAAATAACATTGAGATTTGATTGTGACTTGTGAAAATTAGCAATAATGAATTCAATGTGCAAAAATTAAATAGATGGCGGGACATAAGCGTCGCTATTCAATTGATATTACCCCATCAAATAATTTCCAGCAAAATTCAATTGAATGAAAAACATTTGACGCTAATCAAATTTCCAATTTTCTTAATTTTATAAAATTAAATTTTCTTCAATTAAAACCATTTTGATTTGAAAGGTCTATAACAAGTATTTCAAAAATAAAACCGCGCGCCAATTTATTGTTATTGTTTTGTTTTCATTCCACATTTCTGTTTCTGTTTTGTTTTCTCTATTGCAGTCTACATATATTTTTATTTTTTTACGACAATAATATAATTTTGTTAAATTCCAACAGTTTGTTGCTTAAAAAACGTGATTTTTAACAAAATTTTTTAATTTTATTTTGCTTTATTCATGTGAAAATTAAATATTATATTTAGTAAATTTAGCATTTCTATGCAATAATTTCTAAAAATGTTGTTTTTTTTTTCTTTCTGTGTTAATTGGAAATTATAATTTTTTTTAAATTTTTTCTTGTTTTTTTGTACAGGCTATTGAATAAAAGGCAATCGGGGGGAAAATTTAACAAAAAAATATTTTTTTTTTTTAAATTCTATCAAAAAAATTATTTAATTTTTGGAAAAAAAAACACAATTCTATGATTATTAGTGATAAAATAAATTGATATATATAGAGTGAACTAAAAATAAATAATTTCAAAAAAGAATTTCAATTATATAAAAAAGAGAAATATTTAAATTTTAAAAATTTATAAATAATATAAATTAATTAAGCATATATACATACATACTTTTAAAATAATAATAATGAACAAACAAAATGGAAAAAATAATAATTCTAACAATATATTTGGTAATGGATTTTCTATAAGAAGATTTTTATTGGGAACAGCACCATCTTTCATTGAAAATGGTAGTAGAATAAGAAATTTTGATATTGAACGTGGAACATTTGAAAATTTAAGACGTGATAGAAAATATGATGGAAATAATGATGGTACCAACAATTATAATAATAATGATGAAGAATCATATTCAAGATCAAATAGAAAGGTAAGAATTTTTTTATATTTAAAAATTTTTTGTATATTCTGTTACTGATATGGTCTACCAGACTACTAGAGCGAGGTTAAATTAGATGTTATTCAATTGAATAATTGCACTAATTGCGCTTAGTAAATATAGTGTAAGATCAGAGAAAAAAAAAACTTCCAATTTCTTTGACATAAAAATCCGCTTATTATACAGTTTATTATTACAGTTTATTAAATTATTAGTTATGCTTTCCCGAAACGGAAATTTTCTGTTATACTCTACAGAATTTTACACTATACCGGTAGTAATGTTTTCTCTAAAGGGAAATTTTCTGTTATACTCTACAGAATTTTACACTAAGTAAGTAAGGTTTCGTTTTACGAAAATTGTACTATGTACATTCGTTTATGTGCTCTTAAGAGTATAAGGAAGAGTAAATAATTAAGTTAATAGTTACGTTTTGGGGCCTTTAGGTTTTTGGCATAATGCCGATAAAATTATCAACCTTTTACGGCCAATTTATGATTTCAGTCTATTTATAGCAAAGAAAATTGGAAAAAAATATTAAAAAATTATGAAAATTTTCGAAATTCAATTATAAATTCATGCGTTATGAAAAATATTTAAAATAGTTTTTGGCACATTACGCTCAGTTATAGGTAATGACCGTGAGGCCTGTTATACAAATAACAAAAAGATTTTAATTATGAAAATTTATATTTTCCTGGTATAGTTTTCAATTTGAATTGCAATTGCATATACGTATACGTTTATATATATATATATATATATATATATATATATATATAAATTTCTTCCTTAATTAAATTCCGCTTAATTATGCGCGCAATTTTATATACAAATTATACGGTAAAAAGTTTATTTTAATTTTTATTGTTATAATTGGGGCAATTAATTTAAAAATTTTCTCTGTGTGTATGAATACAAAATAATACGAAGTTTTAATTGTTTTGGAATATTTTAAAATTTTTTTTTTTTCTGCTTTATTTTAGTATTTTAATTTTTGAAATGCTTAGTGTTAATTTGTTTGAAACTGTAATTTTCTGAACACGTTTAAGTTTTTCATTTGAAAATGTTTGGAATTATAAACAATCAACTGCAATAATTATAAACAATCAACGACAATATAACAAAAGTGCTTAGTTTCGACTGACGGCGAATTGGCATAATATAAATTTGTGACTCACTTTGAATTTAATTTTGGAATTTGATGAATTAATCGAGATTCGGCCCTTACTACTGATATATTTATTACTTTTTCTTGAATGTCTCGGAAATTTTTCTGTTTTCGCTGTGTTCATTGAGGCCGTCATACGGTTTATTCGGATAAATATATGAATTTTTCGTATAATATATACTTTGTGTACGAAGCTGATGGTTTACATTTTCGTAGGTATCCTGAATTACAGTTTGTTCACAAAACATTTTCAGTTTTTCCTTTAATTCCTTCGCTTAATTTTTTTATTATAAATGCATATTTGCATTATTCGGGCAATGTATGAGTGCGGTCGATTATGTGCTGCTCAAACTTAATTTTCTTTTGACACTAATAACATATTTCTGAAATCACTTAAATTGTTTCGTGTTAAACGAATGGGCTCCCGTTTGCTCTTCATTTTCATGTCTCTTATAAAAATATAACAATGATTTTTAGATAAGAAAATTTATAAATATATATACTTTTATATTTGCATATATGGAATATTTTAATTTATTTTATTTCATATGCATAATAAATAGGTACTTATATCGTCTGTTTGTTTAATCTTCGATCCCTACCATAGCAATTCGCGATAATTCAAAGCTCAAATTCAACTCATATTATTTAAATTACTTGTCTATTTTCATGTTAATGTTAACACGTCCATTTTTCTTTTTAATAAAATTTATGAACATGCATTTAAATTAGTCTAAGTGTAATCGACTTCTGTGAATTTTAAAAATTAGATTAAATTGATATTATATTGCTTTACAAAAAAAAAAAAAAACAAGAGAATTTGATTTATTTTCTTGCTACCACTAATAAATAATTTAATTTAATTGCAATAAATAACTCAATTGAATTGTAATTATTTAATTTTACAAGAATATAGAGAATTAATAATAATAAATTAAATTAAAAGTACTTAAAATGTTATTTAAAATTTATTAATATTAGAGAAGAAGAAAAAAAATAGTTAAAAAGTTGTTCTTTTAAAAAAGAAAAACAAAAATTGAGGTTAATTGAGTATTAAATTGTATATTTATCACGCGTTATTATATATTTTACATATGGACACTTATTTACAAAGTGTGCGAGATATAACACCTAAATTAGAATGTTATAAACACTTGTTAAATCGCCTAAAATGTCTACGTTATTGGAGGCGTTTAAGGAATACCAAAAACGAAAAAATTAACAAAATACCCTATAGAAAATGTTAAAAATATGTTGGAAGAGTAAAAGTGAACGTGGTATGGTAATTGTGAATAAGCCCTCTTAAAACCCATTTTTAAAGTCTTTAAATATAAAGCCATCTATGGGAGTAAATATGAGTTAAGGGTAATATGAATAAACTAATTTCTTACATAGAGTTGAATGCTCAATACTTACACGTATTGTCAAAAGTGTCATAAGTATGGCCTTATAGACACACAGACGTTATCAAAGCTCATAAAAATTCAAAAACAAATTATTGTTTATTCTGTTAGAAGCACTGGAACAAACTTTGACACTGAAATTATTTTGACATTGTTTACTGGAATAAATGTCCATGGCTTCTCCAGTCACCTACATTTTAGTCATAACGTAGTCACCTCATTTTTTTATAAATTTTCGGTTAGTTGAATTAAGATATAATGCCATTTTAAAATAAATTAAAACTGTGCTGAAATTGCATGTTGAATACCGGTGACATTATTGCAATAAAACACTTTAATTTCACTTTACTGCTGCCGCGTGACGTGACGCACTTTAAAAATTTGACACGAAAACACTCGTTTTTCTTCTATATGAATCCAACAACTGTAAATCTACCGCCAATTTTTGATTATTTAAAAATTTGACAGCTGATTTGTTTTCGAACTGAAACGGTTGAAAATTTACTTTTATTATTGCATTGCTTATACAGGTAAATTATAAGTTTTGATATACTTTGTGTATAATTATATAAAAAATATTTTAATATCAAAAAATTCCATTGTATATTATGCTTATTTATAGTTAATGCAGTACAGATGCTATTTGCAATAATAATAAAAAAATAAAAAACAAACAAAATTCATTTAAATGCTTTTAAAAACAGGAAGTATCTGGATATAATTCTAATTAGAATTTATTAGAATTAAAATTAAATAAATTTATTTATAAGAAATGCACATAATTATAATTATACTGTATGTTTTGAAGTTTTAAGACAAAATAAATGGCACTGAATAATGTTTTTTTTCTAAATTTAAATTTTTGAATTTTATATGAAATATTAATTTAATTAACATTTACAATATGCAAACGATGATTGCTAATAAAATAATTAATATTTTTATTTACAATAAGAATTTAATTTCATGAATTTTTATACAAATGTAGTTATTCATAAAATTTAATTAATATGAGGGGGGGGACCGGCATTCTTTATTAATATCGAATTTTTATTATTAACATACTTTATTTATTGTGTCGTGACTTTGAATTTAATATACCGTATGTATCCATATATATATAGAGTATATATATGGATACATATGGTATATATACCATATATATCCATGAATGGTATATATACCATATATATGGTATATATACAATATGTATATTATATACCATATATTATATACTCTTATATATTCGTTTATATTTAGAAAATATTTTTGTATATTTCTGTACATTTAATTGTAAAATATTAATAAATATTATTGTAATATAAACAAATGGTATATGCATAGTTGTAGTTACTTTGAATTAAGTATATTGTTTACAAAATCTTTGCATTTTTTACATTTTTGTTTTGAAGTAAAAAATAATTATTTAATAACAACGTGCAGTTAAATTGCACGTGTTTTGTGAAAAAGAAATAGAAATTAAATTCTCTTTAGACTTCCTCTAAGGGAGAAGACTTGAAACATATTTGGTAATGCATGACATATGTGAAATGGGCAGGGATTTTGTGCCGAACGTACTGTTTGACATACACAGAGAAATTCAAGAGATAAAATGAGCACTTATATAGAAAATTTGATTGATAATTTCAAACAGGACAATGATCCGAATGCTGTTCTTTAAAAAATTCCCATGGGCAAAATATAACAGATAATACTGTTAACGAGTAGACCAAAGGGACGCACATAGTATACGATATTTTTTTGCTTATATCGATAGATAGTAGTTTTTTGAAGTCTCTGCGGCATCTGGTGGGAAATTGCAAACTTAAAACTCAGTTATTAATTTGTATTTCGCATTTCTATGTTTGATACAAGTCTCAAATTTATAATAAATTAAAAACTCACCATTTACACATAAAAAATTTAGTTAAATTATGAACCGAATATTGATTGTCTCCGACTTCTTAAATATAGTTTATGTTTTTTCTAATTATGTTTTTAAATTACGTTTTTAACAATGTTTTTATGTATATATGTATACAAAATGTACCAAATAAATTAACAATAAAACTGTAATTTAAATTCTATAAAAATAAGAAAATTAATTTTGTTTATAAATATTCAAAGTAAGTAACACACATGCCACACAGTATGCAAACACAGCACAACACAATCACATTCAGCATTCAAACCCATACATACATAAGCATCATAAGAAGAAAACCTGTTAGAATGAAATTTTTTTTATTTAAAAAAAACGTGATTTCACATAAAAATTGGAGATCTATTAAATTTAATAGCATTTTAATTTGAACATTTTATAATTAATATCTTATAGAATGATCTATTTTTCATATGGCGTTGTTGATATGCAACGAACCGCGTATGCATGATTCATAAGTGTTATCTTTTGAACT